CAGCTCACCGCCTCCTTCCCCGCCTCCGTCGCCATCGCTGCCTCCGTCGCCGCAGCCTCCGCCCTTGCCGTCGGCTCCTCCGTCGTCACCGCCGGCACTGCCGCCGCCGCCGCCGTCGCCGCCACCGCGTGCCCCGCCGCCGCCGTCGCCTCCGCCGCCAGCGCCGCCAGGCTCACCACCGCCGCCCTCGCCGCCGCCGGCGCCGTCCAGGCCTCCGCCACCGCTCCCGCCGCCCTCGCCCCCTCCCTGGCCGCGGGTGCCGTCCTCGTGGAGCCTCGCAGGGCGCGACACGTTCGAGTCGTGTGGCACAGACCTCTGGGACGTCTGCTCCGACGGCTGGTCCTCGGACGCATTCTTCAGCAGCGGCGGCTGCCGTTCGGCCGCACACCGCCGCGGTGGGCAGCTGAGCCTTCTCGGACCCGTCTCTCTCGAGCCTGTAGGCGGGTTTCGGCCGAGCACTACAACGTGCGGCGACTTGGGCCGCGTGCTCGGAGGATACCGCTCGGCGGGCGCCGGTGTCTCGGTCGCCTATCCAGCGCTGCGGGACGGGGCGAGGGAGGCTGGACGCAGCGCTGACGTGCCGCATATGCGACTGTCCCCCCACACAGGTGCGCAAGACGTTTGAGCTGTTGCCGCACACGGTGCTGCGTCTGGAGCTCGAATTTGTGAAGATCGACTCTTGGGACCGGGAGAAGGCCTTCATCGAGGTGGACGGGGTGCGCGTCTGGGAGCAGATCTTCCTGTACTGGGAGGGCGACAGGAACCATTGCGGCGACGCGAGGCGACAAGCGCCTTGGGATAGCTGTAGCGGGTCGCCTAGTCACCAGTGGCTCTGGAGGCGAGGGCAGGCCCTGAGGGGGAGGGGGGTGAGCAGCCGCGTGCAGCTGCCTCTCACTTCTCACGCCTGCCCATCGACCAACCCCGCCCAACCTTGCTCCAGCCCCGCCCCCCACCCCCGCTCTTGTAGGTTCCCGGAGATGGCGCCTCTTCCTCTCTCGCTGATCGCGGCGTGCGCCGGTCTGGACGCCGGGACCGACTAGGGACGCTCTGGCTGTAGGTCCAGCCCGTCGACATCACCCTCGCCCACCGCCGCTCGACCGCAACGGTCCGCATCGGCTCCTCCCTCTCGCACACCGCCAAGTACGAGTCGTGGGGCGTTCGCAACGTCCGCCTCTCGGTCCGTTTGCCCGAGCCACCGTTGCCGCCGCCGCCGCCGCTTCCGCTTCCGCCCCCCTCCTCGCCCGCGCCGCCAAGCCTGCCCTCGCCACCCTCGCCACCTCCTTCGCCTCCGCCGCCATCGGCGCCACCACAGCCGCCGCCGTCGCTTCCGCCGCCGCCGCTGCCACCACCACCGTTGCCGCCGCCTTCGCCGCCGCTGCATCCGCCTCCGCCGCCGTTGCATCCGCCGTTGTTTCCGCGATATACGCAACCTCCGCTTCCTCCACCGCGGTCGCCGCCGGCGCGGCCGCCGCCGCCCCTCCCGCCGTCCGTCCCGCAGAGGGTCTGGATCTTCGTCCCTGCCGGCGGCCCTCGGGTAGCGACGGCACAGCCGCCACCACCGCCTCCCTTGCCGCCGCCCCCTCTCTTGCCGCCGCCGCCGCCGCCGCCGCTTCCGCCGCCGCCGCCGCTTCCGCCGCCGCCGCCGCTTCCGCCGCCGCAGCCGCCGCCGCTCGTCCCGTTCGTCCAGCTCGTCGAGCTTGGCAGCCTGAGCAGCCTGAGCAGCCTGAGCCTGCCTGCCAGTCTCCCGCTCGACGAGCGCACCGCCCTGCTGGCTCTCGTCGCTGGCGCGGGCCTCGTTGGCCTCCTTCTCTACCGCAGGCACTCGTCCCTTCAGCCGTCCACCACCCGCTGGCAGAGCATGGTCGAGGCGGACATGGTCGAGGAGGACGAGGTCGCGCCTCCGCCGGCAGCGAAGCGAGGGGCTCCTCACTACGACGACAACGACCCATTCGCGCTGCCGCTGGCACGGCCGGACGAGCGGTCGCAGCAGGGGCGGTCGCGCCGGGCTTCGGCGGCCGACCTGACTGGCCAGCCGGTGATATACGAGTGGGAGTCGGGAGGAGGCGAGCTCACCGCAAGCACTCTCATCCGCCCCGAGGCCGGCGGCAAGGTCACGCAGGAGCCGACAGGCGACGACGGCCTCCCCATCGTCCCCTTCAACGCCATGGCCATTCCGCGGGGCCCGCCCCGCGGGTTGAGCGCAGGCGACGGGCTGCCGGAGGTCCCTTTCGAAGGATGGCGCACAGGCGGCCCTCGCGCTGCAGGATCCGGAGGGCCACACAAGTACTCCCTCTGAGAGGCACCTACCTGATTGTGGTTCCGCGCCCCGAGGGTTAGGGGCGGCACGGACGGACGCGGCAGCGAGATGGCAGCAAGCAAGCGCGTGCGCAAGCATCCCCGCGAACGGACGGACGGGGTGGTCGCTGCCATTAAATTAGCACATGCTCATGCAAACCACGCCGATACGGACGGATACCGTGTACACGGACCTCCCTCTAGAATCTTAAAAGCCGTGCCAAGTGCCAACCGTGTCTGTCGCTTCCCTACGACCTAACGTACCGGGGACAAAGACAAAGACAGCAACACCCAACACTATCACTAGAGCCGTATGTGACACTAAAAATAGATAGAGAGACAGACTAGACCCTAGTCCCTATAGTGGTATAGAGAGCAGAGTGAGATCTGAGAGTCCAGACACCAGAGACGGGTGACGGAGACACGGAGTCGGAGTAAGCAAACGGAGTACGGAGAGTGCCCACTCAGGGAGCCCCCAGCCAGCCCCCCCCGGCCCCGCCCCGCGCACGACCTAGAGCTAGACGAACGAGCACATCTATCATCTTCTCGGTTCACACGTTCACAGTGGCATAATTAGAATTCAATCATTGTTATCACATAAATCACATTATTCAGCTGATTTTTGCAGCAAAAACAAGAGGAAAAGCATCTGACTGCTGGCCAAGGCGGCCCAAATAAATAAGTAAGTAAGACGCGGCCCTCCGTTATACGCGATTGCTCGCCGAACGACGCGCAGCATGATGACGAGCCCACGGTCCACCGATACATCGGGCCGTTTGCGAGCATATAAATGACGAGATTCGCAATCAAATACTTAGCTACTGAGTAAGACACGGACCTTGCAGCGCATACAATTGTATCGGAAACCAGTTGCGCAAAAAGGCAGGCACCACGACGGGCACTAGTGGCGGGCATTGTCGACACTGCATTTCGCGTGTGAGGCGACTGCCCCTCGCTCCCCAACAAGCCCGAGTTGTGTCAAGTTGTCGCACATGCTGGTGTCGAGCGCATTTTCCGCCGTGCTCCTCCTTCCCGCAGTGGTTGCTCTACCGACTCGCCGCACGAACTTTGCTGCCCTGCCAGAGGCGACCCGCGACTCCTCCTTGACCGTGTACGTTGTGACTCACCAGCAGCTGGAGGTCGCTGCTGCAAGTGCTCGCGTCGGGTAAGGACTGGCTGGTGCTCACCCACGTGTGTTTCCGTAGGACGATCTCTTCTGGACGACGTGGAAGGACGGGGCGGAGGCAGCCGCTGCACCGTCTAGGGCCGTGGTGGAGTGGCGGAGAGTGGGGTACGACCTGAACCGCACCCTTGCCGCGCTGGCCGAGGCGGGTGACAAGGGTGACGCGCTGGTGGTGACTGTACCTTACCACCGAGGTGCTCCCGGCTCACCTTATGCTCCCTCCATCTTATGCTCCCTCCATGCGCCCCCACCCCCCACCATCTCCCCTGCTGGCGCAGATACTGAGGCGTATGCGGCGATGGACCAGGCCATCTCCAACCTGCTGAAGACCATTCCGGTCTTTACGACGAACACGGACACGTACCACAACGACAAGGTACACTCGTACATTGGGTCCGCCAACTACGCGATGGGCCAGAAGTGTGGTCTTGCTGTCCTGTATCCCAACAACATTGACGTGATCGCAGGGCGCGAGCCCCCGCCCGCAGTTGACGAGCCCCTGACTTTCAGAGTGTACTGGGACGCATCGGACATGCTCAACGAGGGCCTGCGCCAGCGCCTGCTTGGGCTGAACGAGACGATTACCGGCCAGGGCGCCGCCCTCGAGCTCTTCCTCCCCACGGGAAATCCGGACTGCCCCTGCCTGGCCGCCTACCCTGACCAAGCGATCTTGGAGGACAGCGGCCAGCTCCGCGTCAGCATCGACGGGTCAGAGTTTGACTATCCAATCGGCTATGGCATCGGCTCCTGCTCTTCTCATGACCGTCACCTCGCGCCGGTCTGCGACGGCATCAATCCGCCCTCCTTCTGCAGCGACAACTGGTGCTACGTCGACCCGGACAACTGAAAGGCGGGCCTAGAGGGCACGAAGGACGGTGGCTACGAGTGGACGCGCACACCGGGTATCGAGCCTCCCTACTCATACGAGACGTGCGGGTCTGTGAACAACTACGTCGACTTCATCTCCGGCAACAACACCGCATCCCAGGAACAAGCGTGGGACGAAGAAAGCATGCTGACCATAGTTCTAAGCTCCAACTGGGCGCGGCGGTTCATGCCCAATGTTTTCATTTGCGGCGAGGAGACTGTGCAGATGCCAACCGTCCCTCAATACGGGCAGTCACCGTTCCTGCAGGGACTTAACGCCGTCTCCATGGCCATCGCTGCAGGACACATGGGCACTTCCGCGGATCGCGAAAGGAGGGCAGCAACTTCGGGGTCCGCAGCGCAGAGGCAGTGGAAAGCCAACATGGGCAACAGCCTCGCCGCTCAGTCTTCTGAGGTCGCCACTATCTACCCGCCCGAGTACAGCAACTTGTCTCGAATTGGCCACAGCGTGGTGAACAAGCTCATGACGCACTGGGTAGAGAAGGGTGCGGTCTGGGACGTGTGGCAGGACGCGCGGTTCTCGAGCGATTGGATCGTACAGCATCCTCCAGCGGAGGCGATTGGCCAGCCGTCCGGCCGACTTGAAGTACCAGAGTACTGTGACGAAGACGATGGAAGTCGCGCTTGCGATAAAGATTACCATCTCTATTTATGTGAGACTGACGAGGACTGTAAGCCGAAGCCGCTCTGCCCGGATCAGGGGGCGGGCAGCAACTACTTCACGTGCGAAGGTGACGACCAGGTTCCGATTTTTGCCCCGACAAAGTGCCGAGAGTCAATTCCACGGTCAAGACTCCGGCAGGCAAGCCCCCCCTCACGCCCCTCACGTCTAGACTCTGATCACCAGCACCTCCCGCCTGTCTGCGCGTGGCTTGGAGAGGCTTGGAGATACGCGAGCCCTTGTCGGGACTTTCTTGCACACACTAGGCACGCCCAAGATGCTCTGCGCCGGGCACTCGCGCCATCTGTACGAGAAAATGTACGACATGATCACAAGGGCGCATGCGTTCGTGGATGTTACATCGCTCGACTCGCCTGATACCGTTGGGTGGTACGATATTGACGACAGCTGGTCGACAGGGTGGGGGACGCAGCTTGGTCACGGCTACCAGTTCACCGCTGCGTTTCGTGACGCCCTCACGTTCCTCGCCAATGATGGCAGGAGTGTCACCGTAAAGCTGCTGTTTGGCAGCGTCCCCCTCAGCAACGAGAACACGCGGCACATCCTGGAAACGCTCACTCGTGATATGCCAACCAGTGGTCACGGCGTGACGGTACACGTTGGCACGTACCGAGTCTGGGCGGACTCGTGGAATCACGGGAAGATAATCGCAGTAGACGGCCAGTATTTGCTCCAAGGCGGCTCCAACTACTACGCGTTTGACTATCTGATGGAGGACCCAGTGATGGACGGTCCGCACCCTCCCCCCGCTGCCCCGAACACCCTATTGCTGCCCTCAGTCACCCTCTCCTCCCACCGTGCCCCTCAGTCTCAATGGTCATCGAAGGAGGTGCTACCGTCACTGCTCACCGCTACGCCGCCAAGCTGTGGCAGTCAACATGTGACTGGTCCGGATGGGGGCTTCATCACGTGGACTCGTCGCATCGCTCCCCGAATGGCAACTTTCTCGAAGACGTAAGCTGCCCTCCCACGTACGATGACCTCGTGGAGCAGCGAGTCATTGTTCCCAGCTCGGACTTGGAAAGGCGTCCAGCGTGCGACGGTTGTGTTCGCGTCATCCCTGCTGCTCGGCTAGGCAGGCTTGGTGTGAACAGGGCGGGAGGCAACGACGCTGCCGATTTTGCGTTCCTCGCTCTGATGGAGTCAGCTCAGACTAGCCTCAAATTCTCACAGCAAGACATGTTGCCCGTGATCTTCAGCGGGATCAGCGGATCGGTGATTTCAGCTAATGTTTACGGCACCACAGGCTTCATGGCTGACAAAGGGTTCGAAGACACTTGGATGATTATCGGTGGCCTCGCTCGCGCTTTGGTGCGCGGGGTTGACGTGTACGTGCTGCTGAGTGCCCCTTGCTCCTTTGGCGCCAACGATCCAGACGCGGCTGGTCTGGATGGGGGGGATATGTGTCCAATCGACGGCAGCCCGCCCAGTGGCTTTAATCTGTGGAGCCAGGTTGTTGAGGACCATGCGATGGTGGCTTCTGGCCAAGCTCAACCGAGTACCCGTCGAGCATTCCAGAGAAGCGCAGCCGCGCGCGGAAACTGGGAGGAAAAGATGCCTCAGAGACGTCGCTAACGCGCAATCATCGCCAGCTAACGTATGGGTACGGCTGGACCCTTGAAAACACCGCCGATTGGATTTTTGCGTATCTTGCAATCCATCCCGAAGAGCGCCCCCAGAGTGCCCATGGCCCTGCTGCTTCAAACGAGCTCATCAACCTCATCTGTAAGCGTGCGCACATCGCGCATGTCCGTGTTGCCGCAAGCGAGGCCACCTATGGCACAAGAGCCGACGGTACACAGGTGCGCACGACGCAAATCGGCAATCACGCCAAGGTGATTATGGCGGACGACAGCGCCTTTTACATGGGCTCAAATAACGCGTACGGCGCCGGACTCGCCGAGTTTGGACTAATCGTAGACGATGCGGAGAAGGCAAGGGAGTTGGACAACAACTACTACTCGCCCCTTTGGCAGCAAGCTAAGGCCGGTGCCGTCTCTGGCTCCGACGCCATCGGGTGCCCGTGGGGGGAGAACCTGGCAAGTCGGATCCCAGTGGACACCCTTGAATAGCGTCCGGAGGAGGGAGGACGGCGCGGGGACTGCGAACCCAGGCCAGCGTCCTGACAGAAGCGAGTGAAGTTTCGTGCCGAATGTGGGCACGAACGTCATCTGGAGAGGCTCTAACGTATGACACCCAGAAAGTCTTTTTGTTTCAATTTGGCCTTTGTGATGATCTGGCTCCATGCGCCCGTTACACCCCAGAGGCGTGTGTGGCGGTGACAAAAAACACAGTTTAAAAAATTGTTCGTAAGATAAGCTACATACACTGAGAGAAGGAGAAGGCCTCTAGGGGCCTAGAGAACACACACCCCTCTCCCTTTTCTCCCATTCAGCTAACAGTACTACACTGAAAAACAGTCAACGGCCTCGAACGACAACTAGGACGACACGTTGTAGTTTTCTACACCATGTGTACAAAACATGAAGTGCCGAGGTGATGCTCCCCGATGGCCGCATTGCGCGGCTCCCGCGCCAGCTGACCTGCCTGGCCGTTCCACGCCTGCGAGTTCCGGCCAACAGCTGGTATGCGACCCCGCCATCTCCTTCACGTCGTCGCCTCTGCCACCAGCAGTCGCCGTCTTTGCCAACAACCCAAAGGTGACGCCTGGCACCGTGCGACGCGTGGCGGCGCAACTCTGCTGTGCGGGGCGACAGCCATGCACGCCATCGGCGAATGACTGCGCTGCGGTGCTGCTAAATCATGGCTGCCTGCGCGATGCTGTCTTTGAGCACTTCCCTCGTGTCCTCTGGTTCTCACGCCGGATGCCCTTTACAAGCGACGATGTGACCTGGTCCCGCGCCATCAACGGCGCGAAAGCGATCCGCGAGGCAATCCGTGGCGCGTTGCCTCGTCCCCCACTGGACCTCTTCCTAATCTCTAACGGACCGAGCTGGATCACGCACAAACGAGGCCACGCCCAGAAGATCCAAGACGCCGCTATTCGCCCACCCACTACACGAACGAACGCTCTGCTTTCCGGGGAAAACTTGGAGCTGCACTCCTGTAGGCGCACGCTACGGGCCCTACGACTTTCGAGAGGACACCTGGCGAATAAAGAGGGCGGCAAGGGCGCTACGTGCGCTCTTCTTTGGTCACAACTACTCCGTCCTGACCGAGCGTGGGCTGAAGGGAGCTCTGGGCCTCAGTCGCCTCTCGCCAAGTGCGAAGCTGCCGCTGGGTGAAGACGGTCAGCCAATGCATGGGGTCAACCTCTCCATGTCGACTGGCTTCCTTGCCTCCGTTGCGCTGTTGACGCTCAAGCCCTTCTCGCCCGAGCAGGTTCGCGGCCTCTTCCCGGTCGGCTTTACTCGGCACCTCCGCACCAACGCGGATGGCACTATGCCTGGCGAGTGGCCGAGGCATCCCTACCGTGTCGAGAGGGAGTACATGCGCTGCCTCGGCCGACTCAATACGACGTTTGAATCGACATAGCCAAGCGTGAGGTATTTTCTTCTCAATAACAAGGTCTGGTGTTTGGCATTGGGTTTGTTTCGTGCCAGCACGCCGGTCACATCTTCTTTCGGGACGGGCGTAACTTCCCGATCGATCGGCGACGGGGCGACGGCCTTCGCCAGACATGAGCTCCGAGAAAAAATGTGACGGTTCCGCGGCGGCAGCTTTCCTGGCCGCGATGGCAACTGGCACGGTCGGTGCTGTCGCCACCAAGACAATGTTCATGGTCCACGCTGTTGGGAGCACTGGTGAGATGGAGCCGTTCACCCCTCCGCTGTACTTTACGCTGGTGATGTTTGTTGGCATGGCGCTCGCACTCCCTTGGCACTTTTGGGAGAGCCGTGGCAGCGAAGAGCCTGGGCCCAGCCTCGGGCTGATCGCGCTGCTGTGCGTGCCGGCGCTGCTTGACATGATTGGCACCGCAATCCTCATGCTCGGCCTCCTGCTGATCCCTCTTTCGGTCAACAACCTCCTGCGCGGCTCAATCATCATTTTCGTGGCTGGAGCGAAGCAGTTTGTGCTGGGCGACCAGCTGACAAAGCCGATGTGGGCGGGCGTCGGCGTGATCACAATCGCAATCACAGTCATCGGTGTGGCTGCAGTTGGCAACGGGGGCGGCGGCGCCGGCTCGGGCGATGCCTCAGGCCTCTTGGCGGGGGTGGCGCTGACGATCGTCGCCACCCTCGTCTCGGCCGTCCAATTCGTGGCGGAGGAGAAGCTCATGTCCAGCCTTTCGGCTCCTCCTATGCTCCTCGTGGGGATGGAGGGCCTCTGCGGCACCGTCCTGACTCTCTTTGTCGCCTACCCGATCTACTACTACATCCCCGGCGCCGACCACGGCCACTTTGAGGACCCGTGGAACACGATCGCGAAGCTGGGCAACTCGACACCCGCCGTGCTGCTCTCCCTCGCCGCCATGCTCTCCACCTTCCTCTTCAACGTGTTCTCGATGCTCGTGACGCACAAGCTCTCGTCTGTTTGGAAGGCCATCTTGCAGAACATCAGGCCGGCCAGCATCTGGCTGACGCAGCTCGCGCTCTACTACTACGTCACTGACGGCGCGTTTGGAGAGGCCTGGCTCGGGCTCGCCTCCTGGGTGCAGCTGGCCGGAATGCTGATGCTCCTCCTGGGCATGGCGGTGTACAATGGCAACATCACTCTGCCGGGGTGTGCCGACGACACCGTAATGTCGCCCATGACCGACGACGCAAAGGTCAGGGCGAGCACGGCCGACGCAGACACGAGGCCGATCATCAGCCGCGCCTCCGTCCGGCAGAGCGGGCTCTCGAAGAGCCTGCTCCCGAAGTGAGTGAGTGGGCGGCACCGTCGGGACCCGGTCGGACAAATGATGTGATGATGCGTGCGCGCGGGCCTTCTAGGCCCGCGGGTAGTCTCCCCCCATCCCCAGGGCCTCCAGGGCTCGCACCTCAACCTCTCACAGACCAGCGCATAGCGCCATAGGACGTATTTTCTTCTCATAACAAGGGTACAAGGCTGTGAAGAGCGGAGTGCCCAGGGAGTGGAGTGCCCAGTGCCGTGCCCCTGATCACGAGGAGTGCTGCTCGCACGATCTCTGGCGCTGCCCATGTCCTCGCGCTCCAGCCTTCTCTTCCTGATCCTCTGCCTATTATCATCCGTGCAGTCAGCTCTGGTCTCGGGTGTGACTGCTGTGGCCGCCCGACTTCGCGGCTCACCTGCAGCCGTGAGGCCACGCGCCTCCGCTGCCACATGCCGGGCTCCAGCGAGCCGGCGGCACGCGCCAGGCTGCTCTTGCCCTTCGTGCCTCGGTCACGGCGCCGACTGCGCATGCGGCGCGTGCTCCAGGCATTCTAAATCAGACTGCAACTGCCCGGCCTGCCTCTTGATGATGATGAAGATGGTTTGAGTCGTGCGTTTTCGCTTTCGCCACAAGTGCGACACCCCATCGACTGCAACGGCTCCGGTCGCTGCCCCACGGCTGTCGACGCCGATGAGTACGGGGCGCGAGTGCGGCGGCGGCATCCGTGCTGTGCCCCGCCGTAGAGAGCCGTGTCGTACGCTGCTGACTTGCGCGGACCCTTCTCCCTCTTCGTTCCCGTCCTGCGGCGTCATGTATTAAATTTTACCTTGCATTCGCGTTCCAAAGAGCGTCTCAGCTCACGGACGACAGGGACGTCACTGGAGTGTCTCACACGAGCAAGAGCAGAGTTGTAGCGTAGAATAGCGCACACACGGACATGCGCACGCGCGAGCGACGTCCCCGTCGCGGTGTCGACTCACGCGACTGTCGAGTGTGCTGTCGTGTGTCGACGCTCGACGGGGACGAGAGCAGGAGAGACTGGAGAGTGGACAGAGGTGCCGCCGCGCGCGGTGTGCAAGCGCTGCACGCTGGGCCCGCTTAGCGGCGGTCCCAGAACATCTGGTAGTCGCCACAGCCGGCCATCGCCTTGAGCTGGTTCCGGTTGATGAGAGGCCGCCCCTCGGTGGTCTCCATCTCGATCTTGCTGCTCTGGAAGGGGTTGAGGCCGGCGCAGCAGGCGCACGCGGGCGAGTCAGTCTCTGGCATGGCGCAGAGCACATACTTTGTGTTCGTGTTTGCGAAGAAGGTGTGGCCGAAGAGGATGCCCTTGCTGCTGCGGTCCCAGCACTTGCCCTGCGAGTAGTTTGCGCGGGGCCTCTTGTCGGCAAGGTCCCAGGCAAAGGAGCGGAAGGATCGCTTCCGCTTGAGCGCCATCGAGTAGACAAAGTGCCTACGGCGGGCGGCGAGGCTCGCTCACACCGCGTGGCGAGGCGCCGCCGGGTCTGGCGGGTGGGCGTGCGTCGCGACGAGCATGTGCTCCGCAGGGCCGGGCGCCGCCATCGTCAAGCCGTACTCGGTCGGCGGGACGAGGCACTCGGTCCTGCGGGGAAGGGTGCGGGGAGGGTGGGGGGAGGGGTCAGAGCACGCCCCTGCACTCGGTCGACGCCAGGCGCGCGGGCCTGGCAGCGCGGCCGGGCGTCGCCTTCTCGAGCAGGACGCGCGGCGAGCGCACGTGCGTGAGGCAGCCGCGCCCGAAGAGCCAGTCGGGGGCGAGGGCGATCCGCTCGGCCCGCGCGACGGAGGGGCCGATGCTTGTGGGGTCTGGTGGCGGTGCGACGTACTGGACGAGGTGCGCCGCCTTGGCTCGCTCCTTGTACTGCTTCTTGCACACGGGTCGCAGCATGCCGGCGAGAGTGCACTTGTGCGTGCCCGCCGCGTAAAAGGTGGGGTGCTTGTCGCCGGCGACGACGAGCCACTTGTCGCGCGGCTTGCTCCGGTCGGGGAGCGGGACGGAGAGGGCGGAGACGGTGTCGCGCATCAGCTGCTGGTCGATGAGGGCCTGCAGGAAGGGCTCCGGCACAGGTACAAGGCGGGGCTCTTGGGGAGAGCGCGTCTCGCTGCCGGCCGAGCGAGTGCGTTCGGGTCCGGCTTGCCTCCGAGGTGGGGAGGCTTGCGGGGCGGCCCGTCGAGTAGGGCGACGAAGCGGGCCCA